ACAACTTCCTTCCAACATATCTACAATATCTACATATCTACTAATTCATTTTACTCACATACAAAATAGCATAAAAAGAATATGGACATTTTTATTTATTTATTTATTGTACCTTCTGATCACACTGCAATAAAGTGCTGTTCTTCATCGAGTGAAAAATGTAAGGGGGTCTGAATACTTTCCGTACCCACTGTATATATATATATATATATACTGATGAAAAAATATATATATATTTTATATATATTATTTATATATTTTATATATATTTTTTTCCCAGTGCAAATGTCAAAAAATTCTTAAATCAAAATGACATGAGGTGTTTTGAGAAATTGATCAAAATGAAGTGAATTTGTGATAAAATAGAACCAGTATCTACCAATGAGCTCAGCAAAATCAACTTAATTCAAAGGGAAAGCAAGTTTTCACAATCCAGTGACAGATATTTGTCATTGTTTTAATCATAAACTCACTTCATTTTGTTCAGTTTCTCAGAAAACAAGACTTCATATTTTCATTCTGCATCTCCAGTAAAAGTATCACCTTTATTTCTATAACCCTTTATAAAATAGAGATTGTGCAGCTTTACAGTGTTAAACAGGAAAATGGTGTGTCAATAATGCAAGAGGACAATAGAAAACTGAGACACCAGGCTCAGGGGTGCAGTATTCCTCTGGCCAGGCGAAACAGCATGATGTGGTTTAATTCCAGGCTGCAGCACTTATAAATCAGCACAAACTCCTTTACCTTGAATATTGAGTACCAATGAGGATAGGGGGACATACCCATACAGGATGTTTTTCCCAAGAACATGTGTTTTGTATAAAATTGCCACATATACAGAAAAACATATCCATATAAGGAATAGACTTCCTGGCGACAGAGGCTGAACCCCCCTTATAAATCAGCACAAACTCCTTTACCTTGAATATTGAGTAAGAGACATTCAAACACCATACAAGAGAGAGAGAGAGCAGATAGAGGAGGGGTGATACAGAGAAGGAGAGAGAAAGAGTGAGAAAGGAGGGGTAAGGCATTCTCAAAACAGAGAGTGTTTTCTAACAGTCTTTAATCTAGATTTAAACAGAGAGAGTGTGTCTGAACCCCGAACGTTATCAGGAAGGCTATTCCAGAGTTTGGGAGCCAAATGCGAAAAAGCTCTACCTCCTTTAGTGGACTTTGCTATCCTAGGTACTACCAAAAGTCCAGAGTTTTGCGACCTTAGGGAGCGTGATGTCCTTGTGCTTTGTCTTCTCAGGGCCTCTTCACAAGACGCTTGCTTTCAGCGGTCATTACGGGTGGACGCTCTCAGATTCAGGTTATAACAGTCCCGTTCCCATTAATGCCCTGCGGAAATAACTGCCCGGCAACATCAATGCAGCCGTTCACTCGCAAAGAACCAACAAATCCTATTTTCTTAAAGGTGAACCGAAACTTAACACAGTGTTGAATTCAAATAGATACAGGAACATTACGATTGGAAACATGATGATTTTCAAAATTTTTAAATAAGTAAATTCAAGTCACCTTTATAGTGTGTCAATAATGCAAGAGGACCATAGAAAACAGTCAGTTCATTGATGATTCAGTGATGTCTTCATCCAGTTCAGCTCTCTTCAATAGTGTCTGTGCAATCAGTCAAGTGTCCCCAGCTAAACAAACCAGAGGAACCAAAACTCCATCAGTGACAGAATGGAGAAAAAATCCTTGGGAGAAACCAGGCTCAGTCGGTGGCCAGTTCTCCTCTGACCAGACCAAACCAGCATGATGTGGTTTAATTCCAGGCTGCAGCAAAGTCTAATAATAATAATTTTCGTCATAATTTTCGTCAACAACATTTTTTTCACCGACGATAACGAACTGAAACTCTTTTTGAATGACAAAAACTATGACGAATATTTATTGACATTTAAAAATAAAATAAATAAAATAAAAATCTGACAAAAACGTTAGGGAGGGACGATTTGGTAGGAGATTAATTCAGAATAAATCTGCTGCGTGGTTCGGAGGTTAGATGCGTACATATGAACCGGCGGGACATAAGCAAACGTACACTTGCTGCACGTTGCATAAAACGTTCAAAAATGTCAATATGTGGGAGTAAGAGAAGAGCAGACATATAGATAAATCTGACGACGCAAGAGAGAACTCGGGTCGGTCCGGTTATCTGAGCGCAGACACTGAAGCACACACACACAGAAAGCGCCTCACAGCGCGAGTACTCTCTCGAGTCGCATGAACGGAGAATTACACACAAAATGTCAAAGTGTCCGTTTTGACGAGTATTCGCGTAAACACAGTTGATTACGTCTTAAGTGAACGTAAACAGTAGGGAGAACGTGTATCAGTACATTGCATCCATTGCAGCTGTGCGTTCGGTTTTAAAGGGATAGCAGCCTAATTTAGTTGCTATTGTCCGAGTCATTGATGTTAATCAAGCAACAACAGAAAGACAGAAAATCACTCACTGCGCTTGACTGAAAAACTTTAGTAGCCCTAACGATTAATCTAAATTTATTTATAGAAATAAATATGTCTGCTTGAAAGAATGAAGAATATGGTAAACAAGTTGCTATAAAGAATGCATAATTAGCCGATATAACCATTGGTATTTCATTAAAATGTAGACCATGTTCTTGTTCTTTATGAGGAGTGGTTTTATTTAATTTTAACACAAAGGCATGTTGTGTGTCACCGCAGTTAAATCGGTGTATATCATGATAAAACCTTCATATCAAACCTATATAATGAGTTTTAGAGAAATTCTTAATAAATGCATTACACTGTAACTAAACCCATTAGATTTTAGCCGAATAAAATTGTATGATATTTAGTCAACTATAACTAGACTAAAACTAAAAACAATTCAGATGACTAAAATATGACTAAAACTAAATTACATTTTAGTCAAAAGACTATGACTGAAACTAAATCAAAATTTGCTGTCAAAATTAACACTGCTGCAGTGACTATCTGATCTGGATACAGACTGGATCTGGTGGCTACGGTGACCTCGGAATAAGAGAGAAACAGACTAATATTAGCGTAGATGCCATTCTTCTAGTGATGTAGCAAGTACATCAGGTGTTATGAGAAGTGTTCCCGGTTCCGGTTGTCCTAATTAATGCAGCCTAACAATCCTTTAACGGATTTGAATATTAGAAGCGTATTAGTGTGTTATGTGTAAGCCAGGTTAAAGAGATGGGTCTTTAATCTAGATTTAAACTGACAGAGTGTGTCTGCCTCCCGAACAATGTTAGGTAGGTTATTCCAGAGTTTGGGAGCTAAACAGGAGAAGGATCTGCCGCCCGCAGTTGATTTTGATATTCTAGGTATTATCAAATGGCCAGAGTTTTGAGAGCGCAGAAGACGTGAGGACTATAATACAATAAGAGCTTGTTCAAATACTGAGGTGCTAAACCATTCAGGGCTTTATAAGTAATTAGCAAGATTTTAAAATCTATAGGATGTTTAATAGGGAGCCAGTGCAGTGTTGACAGAACCGGGCTAATATGCTCATACTTCCTGGTTCTAGTAAGAACTCTAGCTGCTGCATTCTAGATCAGCTGGAGTTTGTTTATTAAGCGTGCAGAACAACCACCCAATAAAGCATTACAATAATCTAACCTTGAGGTCATGAACGCATGAATTAACATTTCTGCATTTGACATTGAGAGCATAGGTCGTAATTTAGATATATTTTTAGGTCTCTTCTGCTCACCAAAGCTGCATTTAATTGATCAAAAACACAATATATATATATTGTATAACGTACTGTATATTACAATATATTCTAATTATTGTGATCAACATTTCTGATTATTATCAATACTCAGTATTTTTGTGGAAACCGTAATGCACTTCCATTCAAATTTTTGGGGTATGTGTGCAAGTGCTTTTAAATAAATTAACACTTTTATTGATCACGGATGCATTAAACTGATCAAAAGTGAGAGTAAAGACATTTATAAAGTTACAAAAGATTTCTGTTTCAAATAAATGCTGTTCTTTTGAACTTTCGGTTCATCTGTGAATCCTGAAAAATAAAATGCATCACAGTTTCCACAAAAATATTGTGCAGCACGACTGTTTTCAACATTGATAATAATCAGAAATGTTTCTCGAGCAGCAGATCAGCATATTATACTGATTTCTGAAGATCATGTGACACTGAAGACTGGAGGAATGATGCTGAAAATACAGCTGCGCATCACAGAAATACATTACAGTTTAACAGAGATTCACATAGGAAACAGCTGTTTTAAACTTCAATATTTCACATTTTTACTGCATTTTTGATCAAATAAATGCAGCTCCGATGAGCATAAGAGACTCTTTCAGAAACATTTAAAATGTTTCCAAACTTTTGACAAGTACTGTATCTGTTGAAACTGACCTAGAAAGTGTCTATAGAAACACTATTTGAACACACTGCTGTAATTCCAACATGGAGTTATTAATGTTAATCCTCTGCACCTGGTTTCCACAGGAGATAAAGTCTGGAGATATTCCGGCTTTAAACTGGACCAGGGCTACCCCAGACGCCTCAGCATCCCCTCCAGCACCCAGGCCGCGGTCCTCCTCCAGCGCCCCCTCCAGCACCCCCTCCAGCACCCAGGCTGCGGTCCTCCTCCAGCGCCCCCTCCAGCATCCCCTCCAGCACCTCCTCCAGCACCCAGGCCGCGGTCCTCCTCCAGTGCCGCCGCGCGCTCGTCTTCATCCGGGTGAGAATCTGCGGGAGATGTTCTGCTCGAGCCGAGTGTGATGTGTGTCTGTTCCGCAGGGATCAGAATACTGGCTCTGGGATGAACTGGGTTCGGCTAAACCCCTGCAGCTCATGCCCTCGGATCCGGACGCTGCGTTCACGGGGAGCAACGGACGCGTCTATGTGTTCCGCGATGGATGCACTGTGACCACTAACCTTCATCATGGGTTATATTCAGCATGTCATACATCAAACAGCACATCATCTATAGTTAAGATCTCGGACAAATTACCAGTCATTGTCAGCAGTTTATTAGTCATCTCTGATGTATACATGAGCACATATATACTGTACATGTATATATACTTATGCATGACTCTAGTAACTGATGTATTAGACGCACATAAGCTTTTAATCACTTTTGATTCATTTTTTATTATTCAAATGAGTATTAATAAAAAGAATTGAAACGAAAGTCACAGTTGTAAGTTATAGTGTCTTTACACGACAGTGGATGGCTAGTAAATGTATTAACTGGAGGAAATAAGATCATTTTCAGAGATGCAGAGATAAACGCATCTAATAACACATTTAAAGGAAGTCTTTCATTCTGCACGAACGCTAATAGAGAATAATGCATTAGTTCATTACGCGGAATTCATTTTTGTACAATGAAAATATGCTGTGAAGTTTAGAGGAAAACAGAGCACAGAATAAAAACACCTGTTTGTCATTACAGAAATAATCATTTCAAATGACAGCAAAGACGCTTTAAATGTAAAATGATGCTGAAACACCAACAGTTCAGAGTGAATAGCGCAAGCCTGTTTTAGTGCCCTCAGTAGGGAACATCAGGAAGTTCCAGCACACTGACACACACTCGTGCTGTACTTCATCAAATCCAACCTTCAGACGTGTGCCAATGCATTTTCATGAATCATTTCCAGAAACTTTTATTTTTTCCATGGATGCCTGGATTGTGTCTAATCTTTTTTTGCTGTAAAACTACTTTTCAAACTCATGCTGGGCTAATCCGCTGTCTGTCATCTACAGAGCGTCCTGATAAAGTCAATCAGATGTCTCTGACACACATGGACCTCTCCTAACCAGCTGATGGTCTCAATCAGGCGTTAAATAAAGGAGACAGAGCCGTGGGCCCCCAGGAGCAGGACTGAAAGCCCGACTCAATGAAACTTACTGACCACCAGCAGAACATGAATCACACAAATCAACAAAATACTCACTGATCAAAATTCAGCAAGTTATTTTCATTTGTGAAATTTGATATATAACAGGGTTTCTGCAGGTTTTATGGAGATACATTTAGTGAAAAGTTTTGAAGTGAAGAGAATAAATTGAACAGAAGTCAAATGGTCAAAGCGACAAGAGATATCTGCCAACAGAGTCGGAAAAATCCACTTAATTCAAAGTGAAACAGGTTCTCTTGATTTAAGGATGTTTAGATATTTGACTGAAGAACAAGACAGAAATACTGAGGAAGACATTCATTTTTAGCACAGCATGCCACGACTTTATGAATCTAAGACTTTCTGCTCTGATTTAAGAGCTTTTTAGGCCTTCATTTGTGGAAGAGTGAATGAAGACTCTTTGAACCCTCTCTCAGACCTGCAGAAGCCCGGTGTCCACATACAGCCGTACCACGCTCGGAGACAAGCTTTAATAAACATCTCAATATAATCAGTGTCTTGTGAATAAGACTGAAGCTATTTGTAAAGTAAGTGTGTTTGCGTGCAGCTGAGGTGAACTGCAGACTCAGATCAGCGGAGTAGATGCGTCCTCCGAGATCACGTGCGATTGCTTTACAGTCTGAGAAGAGCCGACGCTGAAGTAGTGAGAGGCACCAGCGATCCCGTCTCAGAATCAAAGTCGATCATGATGTGATGAACGGAGCTCAAGCTCCACAGCGAGGAGCCCGTGTGTGTCTGCCGCTCTCGCAGACTCGCCAGATAACTCTGCAGACAGACAGACAGACAGCAGACGCTGAGATCAGAGTAAAGCAGACACCGCGTGATGATAAAGACGTGTAACGTGTGCCGGGGCCGTACCGGGGCCAGCACGTCTCCCGTGTAGCGCTGGAGGGCCGGCGGTCTGCGGCCACGCGTCTGTCTGATCCTCGTCAGATCCAGCTGCTTCTGTTCACCCGTCACACACTCTTGACACCACACACACACACACACACACACACACAGACACAGTCCCTTCAGCCACCCTAATGCCTTTTTCTTCGCAGGGTTTCTGCAGGCAAATGCAAGACTTTTTAAGATCTTTTCAAGACCAATTTAATTTAAGGAATAAACTGAATGGAAAACAACATGCCAATATGTTTTCTTAACAATTCAGAGTTTTGAAAAATAAACTTCCAACAGATCTCTATTACTTTCCGATTAATTTTACAGAAAAAAAACTCTTATGGTTTGAATATGTCTGCTCAAACAGCAGAATATGGAAATAATCTTTACTATACCTTCTGATCACACTATAATTTAGTATAATTTAATAAAAATTATTGTCTTGTTCTCAGAAAAAACATGTAAAAATTAAGTGAACTTTTGGCTGAAAGAAGCAAAATAATATTGTTTTCTGTTTGAAATAAGATTATTTTGCTAACCACATTGGCAGATTATTTAGCTTGTTCTAAGCAAAAACTCACTTAATTTTGACATGTTTTTTCTGAGAACAAGACAATAATTTTTACTTGTCTAGAAAATCCTTCTTGATTTAAGAATTTTTAGATATTTTGGCTGAAAGCAAGACAAAAAAATCTAAGTAAGAAAAGCATTTTTTGCAGTACGATTTTATGAATGTAGGACTTTCTGCTCTGATTTAAGAGCTTATAATCTGTGGACGGGTGAATGAAGAGTTTTTAAGACCCACAGAAACCCTGCGTTTGTCTGAGTTTTTCCTCTTATAGTTTTTGTATGTATTCTGGAAAGTTCTCAAGAACACATGCAGGTCATATTTCACCCCAAAACAAAAACAACTAGATTTTTGGCTAGGGATGCAGCGATCCGATACTCAGGATCCGATGCTGCTGTTTTCTGCCGGATCAGGTATCAGGATCAGAGTTATTATTAAGCTCCACGAAAGGCACAAAAACATTATAAAGCACCGTAAAGTTTTCGTGCACTATATTCCAAGTCTTCTGAAGCCGTTCTGTAGTTTAATGTGAGGTTCAGATGAATATTAGAGTCGTTAAACTCTTCTTTGCGCTGTCATCAGTTACGACAGTCAAGACGCTGAAACTCTCTGCAAGATGATTCAGTGTTGCTATTATAACACTTGATCTGTAGATAAAGATCAATGGTTTTGCATAAAAGGACTTTATCTGGCTGGAGTTTAGTGCTGTTTCTGAATCACCGAACTTTCTACCATATGTCTGTTCGATCACAGCACTGCAGTCGAGAGCACTGGGAACACTGTTGCTTCAATAAAGGAGCGTTGTGCTGCTCTGCATTGGTGCCTTTCATGTTATAATACTTCTGCGCAATGAAAGATTATTAATAGCCTTTCTTGTTGTCTTATCTATCATATGCTGCCGCCTCTTTATTGCGCTGTACATTTAAATGGAATATATTTTAATGTTATAGTATATATTTATATCTAAATATATTTACTTGTTTTTCATGAATGTATTTTACAACAATACAAAGAGCAATGTGTAACAGTTTACCAGATTTAGTCCTACACTTATTCACTTTTCTTTGTTCTCCACTAAATAATGCTTTTTGAATAAAGGTTTAGATTTGATAAAATTATTGTACACATGATTTTTCTAGAGTAACTTCTGCTGTTGAATTACCCACTGACCTAGTTTATAATAGTATTTTTGTCATAGATATGATTATATTTTTTATGTTATTTTTGTGCATAATGAAGTTGTCTATATTTAGTAGATTGTGTTTAACACACAAAACAGAGATGATCAGATCAACACTCAGAGGTATAGAAATTCTACATTGATTAAAAAAAAACAAAAAAACAAAAAAACAAAACCTGTGCTGGTATCGGTATCAGTCGGATCGGATCAGAAAAAAAAGGTATCGGTGCATCCCTGTTTTTGGCAGTACAAACGAAAGCTGAAATGAGCTGTATTTTCTCTCTGTTGGGGTGAAATGTGGCCTGCGTGTGTCTTCTGTGGTTTGTTTGTGATGTGAGCCGATACCGTCAGAATGCGCTGTGATTCTGCACTGGACCAGCATCCCCAGTGCTGTGAGTACAGGCCAAATCCCAATCACCGGCCAGCTGTACCAGCACAAGCCCTGTTGTGTCTTCAGACCCTCAAACGCCCGCAGCACCAGCACAGGCGTCTCCACCCAGTAACCCACACACACCGTGGCCCCCGCGGCCCCGACCGAAGCCGTAGCAGCTACCATCATGGCCTTCCTCCAGCACAGAGTGATGACGGCACAGAAGACACTGGCTCCTACGACCGCGCCGACAGGGGCCCACGGCGGGCTGAGCACGGGGTAATACTGTCCCAGCAGCAGCAGGGCGGCGCCGGAGAGCAGCGCTCCCAGTTGGAGGCCAGTGAGGAAGAGCCCAACGCTCCGCACCAGCACCGCCACGAGCGCCGCCAGCAGACCCACGCCCAGAGAGACGCTCGCCCGCGTCCAGCCGTCCAGCAGACGCTCCTGCACACACAGCAGCTGTCCCACAGCAGCGCCCCACGCCAGGCCCGACACAAACAGCACCGTCTTAAAACAGCGGTAACCTGGAGAGCAGGACCAGAACGTGACATCAGTTACAAACGACGATTCACATTCATCACAATCAGTGCTTCACCACACGTCCTTATTAACTGCACTAATCAGCCACTGCTGTTGACCAATATGTGCCTGATCACAGTGAATATAGTGTGTTGTTGATTATCTCGCATGCAGCTAAGTCTGGGTTTCTGCAGGTTTTATGAAGGTACATTTAAGGCTTTTTAAAGACCTTTTTAAGAGCAAGTATGAGAAATTGATCAAAATGAAAATAGTTTATGATTAAAACAACAAATATCTGCCAATGAGCTCAGAAAAATCAACTCTCCCGTGTTGCTATGGATGGGTAGAGTATGCTATAACTGGCAACTAACCACTTACAAGGTTTCTCTTTATTCTCCCGTACACAAAATTAAGGCCTGATGAAAGTCTTAAATTCATAAAGTCGTGGCATTAAATGTTGCATGAACTGGAAAAAAACGAATACCTTCCTCAGTATTTGTCTTGTTTTGCAGTACAAACATCTAAACATCCCTGGTGTCCCTCAGCAGCTTTTACTCGACCGCAGCAGGTACGACAGTCTGGACCGAGTACAGTCGGATATTTCTGGATGTCCTTCCTGACTAACAATAGAGCTAAACTTAGAGGAACAAGCACAGATCTGAGGCTGGTCCCAAAACGTGTTTGTTCAGTCCAACAGCGTTCAGCTGAAGGTCCATCTGTTTTTACATTGATGTTTTAAATAGCACTACATTTTACACACTGCCTTATTGTTCTCAGTTTCCTTGTGTAACTGTTATTGAGATAACTATCGCACCAGCTGAAAACATGCTTTTGTGTGAGCCACATTACAGCTGAAGCAGAAAGCAGCGTAAGTCCATGTCGCAACCCTAGAAAGCATAAAGCGTTTAAGTACTTGTGCACAGTCGTATAACACTGATATAATCACTATATTTAATTTCATAGACTTCAGTCTGCACATCGCTTGGAAGACAACGCTGGACATTAAGCTCAAAACCTCTCAACAGAAGTTTGAAGTTCTAGTTCTAGTTAGTAACCCTGAATTGTAGTTTTTATTTAGTGTACATGAGAACAACTAACTGTACAGAAACATTTAAACGGTAGTATACAATCAAAACTAAATCCAGTAGAAATCATTTCAGCCCTCGTGTGGGTTTTTGTGTTCATGCACTCTACGGTTAACTTCTGCTTGCACTGATTATCTGTGTTCGTGTCTCTTTCAGACTCACCGCAGAAACAGTAAATGAGCCCCAGAGCGAGGCAGAGCGAGCAGGTAACAGCCGGTCCCAGCTCATATTCTCTCCTGATCTCCGGAGCGCAGGCCACTCTTGCGGTCTCCGTCTCGTTCGTCATGCTGCTCTCGAACGCTTCCTCACTCACTGCTGCAGGCGAAGTGTGTTTCTAATCCTTGCATTGCTCCAAATGTGTTCAAAAGTGCCTGAAAAAAAGAGAACACATTGTTTTAAACAGAAGGACACGCGTGCTCATTACAGGATCTCGTCAGAAGAGGTTCCTACAGTCCTAAAACCAACAGAACGACCCGCTCACACCCAGCAAGCTAAAGATCAGAAACTGTGATGGGGAAGATGTTATGTTGCTTTTTCTCATCTGAGCTGGGCTTGCTCGTTTGTTTTTAATATAAAAAAGTTGTATTTTTGGCAAATGTAAAAGCCCTTTCACACCAAAAGTGAAACGAATAAGCCTGAGGCTGAAGGAAATATAAATTCAATCATCAACATATTTCATTATTGCAGGTTTGTGTCATATTCTGAGTTTGCATCTCACGGTTTTCATTCATTGTTTGAGGAATACTGAATCTGTTTCTGTGCAGTGAGAGGAGTACACACATTAGTCTAGATCTACAGGAACATCTGCACTCACTCCTGATTCTCTCAACACCAGGACACAAAGTAACTGCCGTCACTTATTTGGAAAAGTAACTCCGATATTCTCTTGTAAATTAAACAGTGATGTGCTACTTTACTAGTTACTTGAAAAAAGTAATCTGATCATCTCAACACTGATCATAAAGATCTGCTCCTGGAGACCAAACTTGCTGTGATATAAACTAATGACATGAACCTTACTCCCTCATTTATTTCTATAAAAGAATTTAGTCACCTGAAAAATCCTCCTGAACTGAACTGTGTAGAAATCAAATCTGTGGCCGCTGAGAGATCATGCTAATGTCACACTCTGAATCATTTAGTTCAGAATTGCATCTGTCATGTGCTTTAATTCTAGATTAGCAGTGCTTTGGTGATTTGTGCACTTGCTCAGTTTTCTGCTCAAGCTCTGACTAACGAGCAAACTGGACTGAAGTGGGCTTTAATCACAGATTAGTCTCATTTGCTCACTGCGGCTGTTTCTTTATGTACTACAGAATTAAGAGCACATTTTATATTGGTTTCAAGAGTTTCGATCTCAATTCTGTAACTTTAACGTTACCTAAACGCTTGTCAAATGTAGAAATAGTTTTTATCATCGACACATTTTAAATGAAGATTAAAAACAATATTTAAAACACTTACCAAAGCAGATCGGATATATCCTCGTGAGCGAAATGAACACACAATCGTTTTCTTTCAGGTTACTAGGACGAACACTTCGACACAGTCGCTCAGAAGATAAACCAGGTCAGAATAACTTTACAACGAATAGCACGGTGTCGGTGTCAGAAGAAGTCGCAGAAGAGCTGATCCTGGTGAAGAGTCGTTCTCGAAAGAGTCGACTCCTTTAAGTGAACGATGAGAGTCGGCTCTGTTTTACTTTCTCAATACAAGAGAAAATAAAGGGATGATTTTGTTATCCACACGCACTTCATGCACTTACATGGATGTGAACAGGATGATTCTCAACAACACCTGCTCAAAGTGACAGAGTTAATAACCATACAGCTGTGGTGGATGCTTGCTTTGCATGCTGTAATTGAGTTTTTATCTCTTATATGGCACACCATGTTATATTCCGAGTATGATTTGTTTATAGTAGTTTGTGTTTTGGATAGTTCTCTCTACAGCACATATTTAATGTCTGCATTTACATCTGCAAGATGTGTTTTTTTAGAGTGTTTGCTCATCTGCAATATGTCTCTTAGACCATCTTCTAGATGTAAAAATAGATGTTTATAAAAGTGAAGATGCTTGTATTAGAATGCATGTAAATCTGCCTTTTTTCTAAGTGTATCAGCTGTTTTTACACAGCAGATGTTTCCCAGATCAAGCACTCTTTAGCAGACGCCTGTGCAAGCTGGGTAATAACGTTCTGTAATAATGATTTATGTTGTTACATGACAGGCTATGACAAAAATATTTGAATGGTGTAAATCTGAATAATTGTATTTTAACAAAACGGAATATTACATGGCATTTATATATATATAGATTTCATAATCGGTTAGGATTTTAAAACTACTGCAAGTTAGTATTTATTAACCACAATAACCAACTATTACCAGTTACACTATAATCAATTAATACAAATTATCAGTACAGCATTTCTATTTTTTTTTTTTTTATAAGTTAATTTGAGAGGGAACGAAACATGACGGACACAGCTAAAAGGACATTCATTTATTTTTATACAAAACCCACACAGTACATTAAAAATAACACCAGGCAGCTGCAGGTGACGGAGAGAGCTGTAAACCGCTGATAGATCACACCTGCATCAAGCTCATGCATGCTTTAAAGTGCTAGAGAACTTCAGGACCACATTACACACCGCAAAGATCACAGACCCCGTTTAACACGTACAAGAAACAGCAGAACATTT